TTGTTTTTTGATTGAAAACAAACAGCGAAACTCGAGAAAAACTATGAGAGTAAAAAAGTTCGACAAGAGATCCCCTTCAGACGCGCTTGTCCAATGAATATTCAATTTGAGAAATTTTCATTTCGAAACTTTCAAGATCCCTTTGTTCTGGCTTTCTGACTTGAGGGGTTTTCTCTTCTTTATATATATATATATAATATATAACTAGAAACTTTGCAAAGTTTTGCATTCATTAAAACCGCTAATATAAGATTAATGGGAACAAATAAATTGAACAAAAGAGAACGGCAATTTCATTAATTACTAATTAATCTAGAAACATTTTATCCGTGTATATGCGATGGAGAATATGTGTGGTTATATAAAAAAAATATATATAACGAATAGTGAATAGTTGACGAGTCTATTACGTAAAAAGTAGCTTAGGAAACCTCTGAAAGTGACGGATTGAAAAGTTACGTTACTCCTTTAGCGCTAAGCCAGCTTTAGGGGTATGTGAAAAGTGCCTTGAAAGTTCATGACAAAATATCGATCTTCTTTTTTTTTTTTTTTGTTATTTACAGTGTATGAAATATAATTCCGTTGACTGTCTCTCTGTGTCAGGGCTAAAGTCATCGAAAGTGATTTTCGAAAATTATTCTTCCCGAAATTTTTCATAAAAGAAAGAATTATTTCTTTATTTCTTTATTTTTAAACAGAAGAAACTACTTATCTTTAATGACGATTTTAAGAATTTTATTTTTTTATTTAATTATTAGTTTTTTATTACTTTTTGTTCAGTTGTTTTTATTTATTTATTTATTAACCGGACGAGCTCTTTCGTACATAAAGTAATTTACTTTTCTATTTAGTTAGCTTTTTATTATTTTTTTAGGTACTTTATAATTTATATTCATTTAGTTTCTCATTTTTTAGTTCATTTTTTTATTTTTTATTTATTTAGTTTTTTATTATTTATTTAGTTAGTTTTCTTATTTTTATTCATTTAGTTTCTTAACATTTTTTTATTAATTATTTATTTACTTTTTCATTATTTTTATTTAGTAATTTTTTAATTTTTTATTTAAGTTAGTTTTTTAATTATTTTTTTGGTACTTTTAAAATTTTTATTTATTTAGTTTCTCATTTTTTAGTGATTTTTTTTTATTCTTTGTTTATTTAGTCTCTTATTATTTTTTTAGTAAGTTTTTTTTATTTTCTATTAATTTAGTTTTTAACATTTTTTTGCCCTTTTTTTCATTTTTTTATTTAAGTTAGTTTATTACTATTTTTTAAGTACTTTCTATTTTTTATTCATTTAGTTTCTTATTTTTCAGTTTGTATTTTTATTTTTTATTTATTTAGTTTATTATTATTTTTTTAGTAAGTTTTTGTCTATTTTTTATTCATTGAGTTTTTAACATTTTTTTTACTCTTTTTGTATTTTTTATTTATTTAGTTTATTATTATTTTTTTAGTAAGTTTTTTTTACTCCTTATTCATTCAGTTTTTAACTTGTTTTTTACTCTTTTTTTTATTTTTTATTAATTTTCTTTTACAATATTTTTTAGTTAGTTTATCATTTTTTATTTTTTTCCTCTTTTTATTATTTTTTCAGTCAATTTTCCATTATTTTTTAAATGGTAATTTTTGTTTATTTTTAATTTCGTTAGTTTTCACTTTATAATTCACATTTATTATGGAATATTAAAAAAAAATGAAAAAATAAAATAAATAAGAATTCGCATTCATTTTGTGTCTTAGTATTTTTTCGTTAGTTTTTCATTTTTTATTTCTTTACTTTTTTATTATTTTTTAGACAGTATTTTTTCTCTTTTTATTAATTATTTATTTACTTTTTCATTATTTTTATTTAGTAATTTTTTCATTTTTTATTTAAGTTAGTTTTTTATTATTTTTTTAGGTACTTTTTTAATTTATATTCATTTAGTTTATTTTTCTTTTTAGTTCGTATTTTATTTTTTATTCATTTTCTTTTTCAATATTTTTTCGTTACTTTTTGATTTATCACTTTTTTTTCTTTTTATTATTTTTTCAGTTAGTTTTTCCATTATTTTTTATTTAGAAATTTTTTTCATTTTTTTCATTCTTTATTTTGATAGTTTTCACTTTATAATTCACACTTATTATGGAATAATTAAAAAAAAAACGAAAAAATAAAATTGGTTACTTGCATCAAATGAAAATTTAAGTAAATTTTAAATGTTCACATTTTTTTTACTACAAAAACTGATTGTTTATTAATATCACTTTCATTATGTTGAAAAAAAAATTGAAGAACATGTCTATTTTTATTCTACTATAAGAAGTTATTTCCGATTATATTATCGATTCACAAGTAGCAAGTGACATTACCAGGGAAAGTTGAATCCAAATTATTCATGTAATGAGCTTACAGAGGTAGAAAATATAAAAAAAATCATATTTCACTATATTATTAAACATAATGGAGAGAATTTTTCGTTGAAACTTGAAACTAATAATATTAACGAATATTAGGAATAATTTTTAGTATAATATTAATAATTTTAATATAAATAATAATGTAAAATATAATATAATAATAAAATTATAAAATAACAATAACATTTTAATATAACAATACAATTATAATATAATAATTATAAATTATAATAGAATTAATTATAAGAGAATAAAACAATTTTAACATAATAATTTAAAATAATTCTAAATTCCCTTTTAGTCCGCATTGGGAGCATTTTCCCCTCAAAAGGATTTAAATTAATTCACTTAATTGTTAAAAGTCCAATAATCCAATAAAGTTCGATAATTAATTCTTGGTTTGGTCATTTTAAGAGTTATTTGTTTCCAATAGAGAGGTTTTCACGTTTTGGTTGAAATTAGTTTTAACAGATTATTGCAATGGGTGGAAAATAAAATTAATCAGATGAAAAAAATCAATTTTTTTTAATTATGCTATTTCAATTAATTGAATAATAAAATTAAAATTTACAAAATAAAAAAATTTGTCAAATTTAACTTTTCTTTCAAAAATTCAAAATTCAAATTTTGAATTTTGAAAAAAAACTTGAATTTGACAAATTTTTGCATTTTTTATCTTTTGTCAATAATTTTGTTTTTAGTTTTGAAAAACAATTTACGTCACGCAGAAAACAATATGTTTAATTAACGGGATATTTTTTTGACGATCAGAATTGGTCAGATATCCGCGGGAACCTTTGTTAAACAATATTCTCCTTTGTCATTCATGTGACATCAATTTTGCTATCTATGTGCTGACAATTCAAGAGCATTTGAGCGCGAGGGAAACAATATCAAGGGAAAATATGTGTATAAGGTTATAATAATAAATTGTCATTTCTTTCTTCAGCGAGGGATAAAAAAATAATATTTCGAGAAACTATTTTTATATCCGATTTTGCCAAGAATGAAAAACTATTTGTCAAAATTGTCCCCCTTTGCATTATTTTCTTCTAAAATATGTATCTTCATTTTTCTCTTCACTCCAATTTTTTTTTTTTTTTTGAATTTTATATTTGAGAATTTTTTTTTGACCTTAATATATTTTTTAATGGTCTTTAAAATTTTTTGCTTTCGATCAAAAATAGAATTTAGCGTAAATAACAAAAAAAATTGATTATTTTACATCTTTTGTATTTTATATTTGAGAAATTGTTTTTCCAATATATTTTTTAATGGTCCTTAAAATTTTTTTCTTTCAATAAAAAATAGAATTTACTCTCTAAATTTGAATAAGTATAGCGTAAATAATAAAAAAAATCATTTTATTTCTTGTATTTTATATTTGAGAATTTTTTTTTCCAAATTTACTTTTTGTCCTTATAAAATACACGTTTTTTTTATCGATAAAAAATAAAATTTAGTACAAATGATAAAAAAAAAATAATTTTACTCTCGTATTTTATATTTGAGAAATTTTTTTTTATTTTTTTTAATGGTCCTTAAAATTTGATTCTTTTGTTAAAAAAATAGAATTTAGCGTAAATAGTAAAAAAAATCAAATTATTTTTCTTTTCTTGTATTTTATATTTAATAATTTTTTTCTAATATATTTTTTAACAGTCCTTAAAATGTTTTTCTTTCGTACAAAAAAAGAATTTAGCATTAATAATAAAAAATTATTTTATATCTTGTATTTTATATTTGAGAATTTTTTTCTAATATACTTTTTAATCGTCTTTATAAAAATACACGTTTTTTCTTTCTCAAAAATAGAATTTAGAATAAATGACAAAAAAAAAATAATTTTATCTTTTGCATTTTTTATTTGAGAATTTTTTTTTAACTAATATATTTTTAAAAAGTTCTTAAAATACAAGTTTTTCTTTCGATCAAAAATAGAATTTAGCGTAAATAATAAAAAAATCAATTACTTGAATTCAATCAATATGTGAACTGATTTTCTCGAATGGGATTAATTTAAAATTATTGATCCAAACAAAACAGTTAATTAGCATTCGTAAAAATAGAAAAAAATGAGTGAATTATTAAGTTTGCTTCATTACCCAATTCTCTTTATTCCTCATAATGTGGTATTTTAATTTTTAATAATAAAAAAATAGTATTTAAAAATCAAAAATTATAATTTTTACAGTGCGTATTTTATAGTCATTTATTTTTAATCAAAAATTCAGATATTTTTTATAGTCATTTATTTTTAATTTTAAACCAAAATTCGATATTTAGAAAAAAAGAAAACGAATTCTTATTGAATTGATTTTTTAATTAAATAATTTTTCAAGATTCACTAGAAACGAATTACTTTAATCCCTTCGAGACAAATGGGGAATTAATTTCTAATTTGAAATACTTGAGAGGGGAAAAGAGGAGAATTTGCTTGAAGGGAAAATCGAAAACAAAATCTAGTTGTATATACGTATTTATATACACTGTGGGGGAAGAGATTTTATATTCTATGGTCCATACAGCATCTCGCTGATGAACCTCCATATTACTAGACACTGCCATCTTTATAAGAAAATTCTTGAGTTTCATACCTCATTCCCAAAGTGAAATTTTCTTTATACAAAAAAAAACGATTATTAATTAATGTCACTATATTTTTTTTCGCAAAAAGGAGAAACTTTCTTTTTTCATTCACTTTTTCACTTGCGCGAGAAAAGAATATTTATACAGTTAGTGTTCTTTTTTTTATTTTCTCGAGAGACTACTGTTGAGATGCGCCCGGCTGACTAGGCTGGGCTTTACTACTGTGGATTCTGGCTTGCTTCCCCCCCCTCGCTCGATCTCCCTCACTCTTGTTGCCCCTTTCCGTCTGGCCGCAAGGGTTGTGTCGGAGAGACGGTTTCCCGGGAGTCGATACGCCGACGACGCATGCGCGCCACCCCCAAAAACACCCTTTCTATCCCGGGCCACGCATTGGCTGCTGACCGTGTTTTTTACACGAAGAGAGAAGAAACCGCTTTTTGGAATTAGCGTGTCACAAAAGTGTACGGAGCTTAGACTAATCCTTAATGACTTGGCACGTGCTTCAGCAATGTCTAAGCATTTCTACTTCCGGCAACAGAGCAGGAAATATAAACGGAAACTTTCATTCTAACACTCCTTTTTGATTTATATATTAAAATGACACACTCGAAATTGTCATTCACAAAATTCTTCGCTGTTCTTGTGATTGAAAAGTATCTTCAGAATATGAAAAAAGTCTGTATAGATGTTTTCTTTTCGGAAATCTTAATTTGATCCGGATCGAAGAAATTTAATTATTTTTAATACTATTTTTTCAATTAATTAATCGAAAAATTCAATTATTTTCACAAATAAAGTTTCCCAAGAAGAATTCAATTATTTAAAATAAAATTTTCATAATATTTACTATATTTCGGAAAAATTAATTATTTAAAACAATGTTTATAAAATTCTTACGAAGAATTTGATTATTTAAAAAAAAAAACATAATTCTTCATAGAAATTCAATTTTTTTTAAACATTTAAATAAAATTTTTCGCAATAATTCAATTAATTTCATAAATAATACAATTCTGCTCAGGAATTCGATTATTTTCAAAAATAATAAAACTCTATTTAGAAATTCAATTATTTTCATAAATAATAAAATTCATCGCAGGATTTCAATTTTTTGTGCTCGATGTAATAAAATAAAGATATTTTATCTGAATAGATGAATAATTTCTAGAATTTGGTAATTTTAATTCTTAAGTAGTAAAAGTCAGTTTCAATCAGACAAATATTTTTAAACTATTCTACCTATTATAATTATTCTATTTTCTTTGCACAAAAAAATTAAAATCTTATATTATATTCAATAATCGATTTGACCATTTTTTTATCTTAAGGTCATGTTATTCAGTGGTCACGTGCTCCATATACTTCACTATGGGAACACGTGACCACTGAATAACATGACCTTAAGTAGTAGAAATAATTTTTAGTCAGACAATTATTTGAAAATTATTCTACTTATTATTTTTCCTGTTAATTATAATTAATCCTAGATGTTGGGAAATAACGATAATATTTTCTCTGAATTGATAAAACATAATTGATGTTAATTTAATAATTCTAAACACTAAGTAGTATAAACCAAGTTTAGTCAGACCAATCTTTAAAAATTATTGTCATTATTTCTATTTATTCTATGCAGTAAAATTAAAGTACATATTATTGTCTTGTTTTAAAAAACAAATAATTTGATTAATTAATTAATTAATAGAAAAATTCACTTATTCTCACATAGAAAATTTTTCACAAAAATTCAATTATTTTCAAAAATATTAGAATTTTTCACAGAAATTCAATTCTTTTTTAACATTTTAATACAATTTTTCGCATTAATTCAATTATTTTCATAAATAATAAAATCCATCGCAGAATTTCAATTATTTTACGTTCCAAGATTTAAAAGAATTCTCTACAAAAAATAGAAAATTCTTCTCCAAAATCCAATTATTTTCAAAAATAACAAAATTGTTGATAAAATTCTCTATAAGAATTCAATTTCAAGAAACATTTAATTATTCAATAAATTATTTATTTTTGTATTAAAATAATTTAATTCTCGTAGAATTTTCTAATAAAAATTGATTTATTTAACTTCATAAATTTAAATAAAATTATTCGCAAGAATTCACTTACTTTTGTAAATTTTTTAATTTTATGCAAATTCTAATTTAAATAATTGAATTCCTGAAAAATTTTTATTATTCATGAAAAGAATTGAATTCTTGTGAACAATTTTATTAGAATTTTTAGTAAATACTTGAATTTTGTTTGGAAATTTTATGAAAATAGTAGAAATTAAAAATCATTGAATTGCGAAAGTTTTTAAAAATAATTAAATTTTACAAAGAATCCTATTAAAATTTTTGACTATAATTGAATGTCTGTGTGGTATTTTATTAAATTTTTTTGAAAATAATTAAATTCCTAAAAAGCATTTTATTATTTATGAAAATAATTGAATTCTTGTGAACGATTTTATAAGAATTTTTTAAAATAATTTAATTTCCAAAAAAAAAAAATGTATTACTTTAAAAAAAAATTAAATTCTTGTGATGAATATTGTTATTTATGAAAATAATTGAATTTTGCAAAGAATTTTATTAAAATGTCTCAAACTAATTGAATTTTCGGGAATAATTTTGTTATTTATCTTTAATAATTGAATTATTTCGAAGAATTATTTATGTAAATAATTGAATTCCTGGGAAGAATTTTATTAAAATCTAAAAAAATAATTGAATTATATCAAAAATATTTAATTAAAAATGTATTTAAAATAATTGATTTCATTTGAACAATTTTATTAAAATATTTGAAAATAATTGAATTCCTTTGAAAAATTCTAATATTTTTGAAAATTATTGATTTTTTGATAATTTGATTATTATTAAAATTTTAAAAAATAATTGTATTCTTTCCAAGAATTTTATAAAAATCTATTTAAAAATAATTGATTTTTTTTCGAAAAATATTAGTAAAATTTTGTTTTAAAATCTAAAAGCAATTTTTTTTTTAATAACTAATAAATAATTTTTGAAATATTTGTCTGACTTAAACTGACTTCTACTACTGGAGATGAAAAATTTTCAAATTATCTGTTGTTAAACAAGACAAAAATATTTTAATTTTACTTTATAGAATAAATAGAAATAATGACAATAATTTTTAAACACTGGTCTGACTAGACTTGATTTATACTACTTAATGTATAGAATTATTAAATAACATCAATTATTTTTTATCAATTCAGAGAAAATATCATCCTTCTTTCTCAACATCTAGGATTATAATTAAAATTAACAGAAAAAATAATAAGTAGAATAATTTTCAAATAATTCTCTGACTAAAAATTATTTCTACTACTTAAGATAAAAAAAATGGTCAAATCGATTATTGAATATAATATAAGATTTTAATTTTTTTGTGCAAAGAAAATAGAATAATTATAATAGGTAGAATAGTTTAAAAATATTTGTCTGATTAAAACTGACTTTTACTACTGAATATTTTTAATTTTAGAATTTACTACTACTGAAGATTTGAAACATTTTTAGTATTTCTAGAATAATTTTCAACTTCTTTTAGTGCATTTTTTAAGTCCTTTTATTATTTTTCAGAAAACTTATCAAATAATTGTAATGAAAGTCGATTTTTGTACAAACTATAATAAAAGAGTCTATTGCAATTTTATTTTTTCTCCCTTTATTAGTGGATTTATGCCAAAAAAATATGCTCTTTATTAGTGATGAATATAGTTACCACTTTGTGGATTATTGATTTTGGCACAGAAGACCTTTTTAAGTGGTGGTCTTTTGACAAAAAGAGACCGAGAGAGATAGAGGGAATTTTTTACAGAATATTCACTATACAATAACATATTTCTATAATAATACAGCTATAAAAATATATTTCTAATTTTTAATCTCTGAAATAAAGTTTGAAAAACAAAAGAAAAAAAAAGAAAAAAAAAATCTTTGATTCTTTAATAAGTTTCTTATAAACTATTTTTATACCTGTTATCACGAATTCTAGAGTGGAAATCAATTTAATTAAAGTTGCTAATTAATTATGTCTTGTATGTCTGTATACTTAACCATTTAATCAACTTCTACCATCCAGAGTTGCAAATTAAACTCATGAGACCGAATTGGCAATCTAAGGTCATTTGTTTGAAAGCAAGTCTACTCGATTTGAATAATGAATTTGTTCGAGCCTCTTAAGTTTTCTTTATTAAAAATTAGAATTTATTTTTAAAAAATTATTTTTTTAAATTATTTTAAAGTTACAAAATAAAATTTTTAAGATGCAACTTTTATGCATTTTTATTTATCTCCAAAGGTTGTATAAAACACGACAAATTATTATTGAGATAAAGAATTATGTGTCTCGTAAAACGACAATACTTTTCGTTATTAAATTTTATGTAACACGCAAATCAGTGTTGATAGTAGGAATCGTAAAAAAAATCGCTTTAGGAACACCTCGAGGACATTTATTTTTTTATGAAATCTGAGTAATATTTTACGCACCATGAAGTGAAGATTTATTTTAAAAAAATTTTAAATCTTCCAAAAATTGTATCATTTTTAAAAGCTAATAAATTTAATTAGTGCAACGAATTTTATTATTCACGAAAGACTTTAAATATTTATAAAAATAATTTAATTCTTGTGAAGAATTTTATAAAAATTAAATAATTGATTTCACCTTTCGGCTAATTTTATGCATTTATAAAATTCATCGCAGGATTTTAATTATTTTTAGTACAATTTTAATTGAATTCTTTTTATATAATTCAATTATTCTTAAAAATTTTAATTAAATTCTTTGAAAGAATTCAATTATTAAAAAGAATTTTATTAAAATTTTTCAAATAATTGAAGTTTTTCAAAGAATTTAAATAAAATTTTTGGAAAGAATTTGAAAATCTGAAAACTTCTCATCTCCAGTAGTAGAAATCAGTTTCAGTCAGACAAATGTTTCAAAATTATTTATTATTTACTCAAAAAAATTGCTTTTAGGTTTTTAAAAACAGAATTTTCCTAATATTTTTCGAAAAAAATTAATTATTTAAATTGATTTTTATAAAATTCTTGGAAAGAATTCAAATATTTTTAAAAATTTTTAATAATAATCAAATTATCAAAAATTCAATTATTTTCAAAAATATTAGAATTTTTCAAGGAATTCAATTACTTTCAAATATTTTAATAAAATTGTTCAAAAGAAATGAATTATTTTAAATACATTTTTAATTAAATATTTTTGATATAATTCAATTATTTTTTAGATT